ATGATCTACTCGACCACCATTATGGTTACCGCCAAAAAAAAAAACGAGGGAAAAAAAGAAAACGGTAGCCTGGTTTCCGAGTTCACGAAGTGAATTGGCTTGTTTTACAACGTCGTTGNCGGGGGGGGGGAAGGGTTACTTCGGCGCCGTTGGAGGACAACGTTGTGTGATGCCTTGCTGGTTGCCGTGCTGTCTGTTGCAAGCGTGAAGAGTTGTGGGCGAGAATACAAGCAGCCGCCCGCCTCACAGAAAGAACCTTCACCTTGCCGCAATTCAATGAATGACGCATTCTTCTACCCGGTCCTTGAACACCTCGCCCCCTTCACAGCTGAGCAACTGCAGCTGCTGTCATTTCCGGCTGACGCGAAAAAGCAAGACGAACTCACTCCCCAGTACCATTGATTTTGCCAAGAAGAGGGGTCCAGCGACGTGGAGGAATTCCAAACGTCTCAGGTGTTGCGTATTCTTCAGTGTGAACGTTCGCCGAACTCTGCCCAATCAAACAGGCTGGGGGAGTACGCCGAGAAGGGCGTGGGTGTTTACGCCGACGACGTTTTCACGACCCCAGCGTCTCTCGCGGGGCTCCCCGGGTTGAGCGTGCCTTGCGGGCAGGACCGAGCTGGCCTGCCGATAGGCGTTCAGTTAATGGGTGAGCGGACTCGTAGCGGTTTGTGGTTACTTTTGTGGTAGAAATGTTCGGATACAAGAGATGTTGAGCTTCCGTTTGCTTGAGAATCGGAGGGCGTTCGGTCAGCAAGAAGAGAAGTGCAACCGAATCGTCAGATTACAAGCCCGCTGCAACCCAAGGCGCCTGGATGTCATTGCAACCGTTCTCCACTCGGCCTCTTGAAATCAAGCAACATATCACGGATGCAAATGTCGCGATGCAATCCCCCCGTCCCCCGCCCACGACGCTTTCAGGAAAACCATTGTCAGAAGATTTGCTCCTTAGGGTGGGGCAAGCGTACGAGTCCGCAACACCTTGGCATCGACAATTCGCGCCTGGAGTGTCTGCTTCTTCTCCGGCCGCGGCAGTGCCAGCGGGGGCAGCGTAGACAGGGAGTGCCCAGGGTTTGACCCATTAACGAGCGTTTTTTTGCTGAGGTTATGACCTGAGAACAATCAATCGGTTCTCGTGGGATGCTCTGTGGTTTTGAAGAGTCGAACATAGTTTTAAATAGGTGGCAGCAGCGAGCCTCCTTCACGTCGTCGGTATTGATATTTTGGGGGTTTTAGGGGTTTCGACAGACAGGTGGATATTGTATGAATATGATGCAGCCGGAAGTAAGAATGAAGCTTATCTTGCGTGTTGTGTCTGTCAGGAGTACCGATGGGCTCAACCTTCAACTCTCCTGAATGATCATGTCGTTCGGGCCCTTCGCAGCCACATGTTGAGGCGCCGTCACCATTCACAAGGTACATGACATGACATGTGTTATCATCACATCCGTAAGTTGTTATGTATCAGTTGTGAATTTGCACCCGTTAACATTAGTTGACACACCGGGCTCTGCATGGTGTAGTCTACTCAATGCGCGCTTTCAGCTTCAGCACTGCATGCTGCTGCTGCAGACTGATGGCACGAAAATGAACAACGAGTGCTCGAACAATTCAAATGCAAAGTTCCTGAAATCGAAAAAGTATATGTGTAGGTGGTAGCCCCAGCTGGAGGTAGACTGATGTGATCTCCTGCCCCACTTGCGACCGGTTAGTGACCAACTCTGAGTGTAGCGCATGAGGCGACCTCGATATGAGCGGCAGAATTTTGGGTAGAAATGGGTCCGCGACCTACTTCTGACAGCAGTTTGTGCTGGTAAGAGAGCAGGACCATGGTCTGCTGAGAACGCGGCCAACCACCACCGTGCGCCCCACCAAAAAATACGTTCCCAAGGCCACACGAACGGAACCGTAGCAACAACACACGCCCTTGAGAGAGCAGCCGTTAGACTGCTGTGTGGTAGCAACAGAGTAGAGAGCAACACTACCCACGCGTGAACGAAAAAACATGCGCGTTTTTCGGCCCGTTTTGTCCCATCCCGGCCGTTTGGCGGGCATTCCACATCCCCTCCAAGAGGCGTTCACGGTTCAACGGACTGCCCCCGCAGCACACGTCCGAGCGGAAAGTAGAAGAGCCCAGTATACACTGTACATCACAGCTAACGCGCGCATCAGGGCGAGAGAGGCAAACAAGAACTCTCCCGGGGTCGTGAGCACGTGAGCACTGGAGACGTGATAAAGGAAATACTAACGCAGCTTCAGGTGTGCCAATCGACGATGGGAACGTATGGCAGTTGTTCAATCCAAAGACGAGAGGAATATTGCTCGTGCCGAACCGACACACAGCGGCCCCTGGCGCAGCCAAACTCCCCTTTTCAGCGAGAGCTCTGCGTGTCTTACCTAGGCAGTCGAACGGTGGTGTCATGCAATACCTGTTCTCGTCCGATGCTCTACGGTGAGATAGTGCGGCAGGTGTAGAGCACGTGTAAACGTTGTTGCAGGGCAAGCTGTGTGTGAGTGGATTGCTCTCACGCAGCAGCACACCACTTCCGAGATCCGAGATGTCTGCCATCCACTTTAGTAAGGGCCGCTGTAATCCTTAGTAAAGGCCTAACGGCCTTGGCCTTTGAGCCCAGCACTTAGCCTCTGAGCTTTCCCGTAGTCCGTGATCGGTTTACGGCAGCCTTGGTCCCCCTCACGCTTGTTGGATGTGTTTTGAGCGTTTCACGAGGGAACTGAAGGTTTTGTCCCGTCGTTTGATTTTTGGCCTACAGCAGTGCACAGCAGCGGGACGACGGTGTTGTACACTACCTTCTTTTACAGTAGCAGGTTTGGAAGCATTAATGGAGTCATAAACTCCGGACGGCAGTTTTAGGTTTTCGGGTGTCCGTGCCGACTCCTTTACTCGTGTTCTAGACTGTTGTTTGCCGGTCGGTGGATGGGCGTGGTCAGTTCGCAGTTCCCAGTGTGGAGAGAAGAAGTGGTATGCTACACGTAAGCGTTCCGCGTGAGAGATTCCGGAACTCTTTTCCGCGCAGCTCGTTGCACCTGGCAGTTTTCTGTTTTTGATGATGAACCGTAAACGAGTGTGTTGCCATCCCGTTGATGTTTATCTTAACTTGGGGGCTGTCCTACTACAGCAGTACGCCCTGCTGAAAGGAAACCACGCGCATAGCTTTCTATATTCTTCCTAATTCAAAAAAAAGATGCGCCGCGTGTATGTACTACTGCTGTACGTAGACGTGGGCTGTTCAGACACTGCCCCGCCTGCCGAGGAGAAGTACAGTTGAAAATAGCACACGACGGAAACAGCAAAACTATTCACCATTCGCAGTTCAGGCACGTTTCGACGAGGGAGATGGTCCGATGTGAATGGGATCCCCCTCTTGGAAATGTTCCTGAATTTCGAATGGTCAATGGTTGTGCTGTTTCCGCCATGCATTATGTATTTTCCACTGCTGTACTTCTCCTCGGCAAGCGGGGCAGCCACCACTTATGCGGAGCTATGCGACGTCCTGAAGTGGAGGAGGGGCCCCAATGCAGTTGTAGCGAAGACAGGCAGACAAACAAATGCGAAAAACAGATAAAAGAGCCGGAACAAGCCGAATCCGTGCAATACGAGGGTGAGAGATCCCTTGTTTTCAGGAATCCCTCTGTCAACTGCTGTATTTCCGACTTCCGGCGAATCCACATGCGGGCACGTGAATGTAGGAGGCTGCGTTTCGATCTCTGTCGTTGTCACTTTGAGTCGTCCGTCCGACTCAGCTTGCCTGTGCCCGAGAAACATGGCTGTAAATCCAAGACACCACACTGCTGTAAAAGCCAAATTTGGGTGTGGCGCACTGCACCGTTGTGAAATCTGTCCTCAGAGGAACCCACGCACATGATAGCACGATACCCAAGCTATAGCAGTAGAACCACACACCAGCAACGCGAGTTGGTGTTGCAGGGTCAAACGTGATACAGCAGTGATGCTACGTACCAAAGCGTGGGGGTGCGGTTAGCTAGATAGAGATAGATGGAGATAGATGCTCTATGTGCCCTGGGTCTTGTGCTCCGAAGAAAGACTCGAAACACAGTTACGCATGACACGTACATGTTTAGACTTGGCGCCAAAATAAATGGGACGAACTCACACACAAACACCATAGAAGGATGTGACGGCTACGTTCGTACCTACGAGACCGCCCTACATGAATGCTTCTTCCACGACCCTGCTGACTCCCCACTCCTTCTCCCTGTTGTTTGTTTTCCGCCCCACCTGACCCGCGCCACCCCGCCCGTCGTTTATCGATATTTCCGTTGTTTTCGGTGCATTGTTCGATCGCGCTCGTGGGGTAGCGGCACGAAGGGACTCGTTTCCGGTGTAGAGTAGGGGCGTTGCCATGTCGGAGACTACCCTTCAAAAGGTAGAGATTGAGGTGCAGAGGCTTACGACGGAGTTGGAGAGCCTGGAGCGAGCTCAGGTGTGCTATTCGCTCTTTTTTTGTAGCTTCGCGGGGGTGGCAAGAGAAAAGTGTTACGGCCCTTGGCAACGATGTGTCGTTCCTGAACTCTGAGGTCGGTCGTTTGCGAAGAGATCAACACGTGCAAGGCGCTCAAGAGAGGCAGCAGGAGCAAAGGAGGTGACGGAGGTGGCACCGTATGGGTGAAATGGGGTACTGGCTGCGCCGTGTTTCATTTGTTTTACCCGGTGTCCAGGTAGCCATACGCTTGGGGCGCAAGCGAGCCATACGCTTGTGGCACAAGCCTGCATGTAGGGCACGGTGTGATTTTTTCGCTATTCGTCGTGCTAGGGGGGTACTGCTGTATATGACCAACACCCAATGGACTCACTAGAAGTGATGTTTGTCGCATTGCTGTAGACACATATTCCTTGAATTGGATCGCACTGCGTGTTGTCGCCGCCCAACTAACTTCACCACCTCCCCGCCATTTCACGACCTCGTTGATGTCATTGTGACGGCGGCGGCTGCTGCTGCTCTTGCTCTTTTACAGATGTATTCAGCGGCCTTCGATAACCTGTTGGGGTACGTGAGCGAAACCCCCGAACCGTTCTCGTCCGCGCCACCGGAGCCTAACTCCTGGCATGCGAACGTCGGAAGCGCCGGTGGCTGTTGCTCGGTGTCGTGATTGGAGGCCACCTCACAAACCACGTTGGCGAGGGGGTCGTGAGTACAGGCCTATGGGGGCTACGCGGCAGTGGTCTACGCAGCAACATTGATTAAGCAAACATATGGGATATAACCTGTTGGGGTACGTGAGCGAATCCCCAGAACCGTTCTCGTCCGCGCCACCGGAGCCTTACTCCTGGCATGCGAATGTCGGAAGCGCCGGTGACTGTTGCTCGGTGTCGTGATTGGAGGCCACCTCACAAACCACGTTGGCGAGGGGGTCGTGAGTACAGGCCTATGGCGGCTACGCGGCAGTAGTCTACGCAGCAACATTGATTAAGCAAACATATGGGATAAAGTATTCAATCCGTGCTTTAGGGTTAGGGTTAGGGATAGGGATAGGGTCCTGCGTCCCCCCCCCATTCTTAGATACTCTTAAAATCCTGCGTAGACGGTCTCTACGGGTGGATGAAAGAATCGCCGGAAGCTCCGTTGGAATTGCCGGCCGCTCCACGTCCGTTTGGTCACATTTTTGTGTCAAGGACGACCTATGTGCTTTTTTTTTTGCCGTGCTAGTGTTGGGCAGCTAGGCAGGAGGAGGTTTGGCGCGGGATTTCACCGATCGAAGGAGCCGGCAGAAAAGAAAGTTGATGGTGAGAAGAAGACCGTCAAGTCAAGTCACACAAGGCGAGCGCGTATCTGTGCTGGCTCACGTAGCCAGGCTGGTTATAACGGCGGCGTTTGAAGGATGAACGGGGTGGTGGTGGTATGTCCTTTTAGCCAACGATGCGTTTGTGCATTGACGCCAGGTGTAGGAAGGTTCTGTGTTGGGTGTTTCTTGTTTTTAGCTTCGCGCACAGTAAGTCACGGCTCTCGTATCCGCCCCCGAGGTGAGGACCCAAAAGAGGCCTCGTTGCCTTTTTGTATGTTTTACTTTGAACCGAAGAGTCATGAGTTTCGGTGGCGCTTTTTCTCCACGCACGCCTTTATTTTGTGTTGCTGTTATTCTCCCACCGAGAGGGAGGGGGCGAGTGAAGGGGGAGACGAGGTTGGGTTCGGGCGGGCCCAGAGGCAGGGGCACACCACAGACTGCAAGTTTCCAGAGGTCAATGATTGATGTCGGATGTTGAGGGTTGACCTGTTGCGTGCTTGGGACGGAATATAGAGAAAAGAAATACTGAGGAGCGCAGCTTCGCGATTTTCGTTTCGTAAGCTGTCGAAGTTATGTGTTTGGTTGGCAGGGAAACGTCTTGTGTTAGCCGGGCGTGTGTGTGTTATCATTCTCCACCCGATGGTGATAGGACAGCCGCCAGGAGCAGCGTACATTAACGCATGTTGTGTTCGTTATGTTCGATTTTCGTTCTTTTTTCAAGGGGGGGTCTTCTCGCTGTAAAAGGAAGTTATTCAGAAACATTTTCTTTTTTCGCTCCTCTGCGGTTCAGCTTCGTTTTGGGAAGCACGTTGAAAGCAACAGCTAGAGGAATGCCTCTCGTACGCGTATCATACGGAAACTACAGCGCAAGCTACAATCGTAGTTTGAGGCATTGCATCTCTGATATCACGCGATGTCGGTGACTCGTGTGTTTCCACCGAAGGCGGTCGTCTGTGGATTGACCAGACTAACCAGGCTGCTATTGAGTTGATCCGACGCTTTGTGCCAGCAACGGGGAAACCGAGTGAGGATGACTTGGTAAGTGCTTCTGCTGTCAGTTGGATTCACGGAGTACCTCCACGGCGGCATTGTACGAGAGCTACAGAGGCACCGACAGGACGAGAAGGAAGCTTCGCCCAATGAGCACAAGGCCGTGCTCACGGTGTTCTCCCACCACAACAGAGTTCCCTCGCGGGTAATGTATGTGTTCCTTTTTGCTTCATCGCTGAGTTTGACGAGGTACGAAGGTAATCTGTAGACTATCCCGCCGCCGGCCCTTTGGGCAGTGCGGGCTCCATGCGTTGGCCACACGTTGCTAAAAGATTCTTGACAACAGAAGTCATTGTGGGAATGATCATACAATATCGACTGCTCCTGTGATTGTGCGAGCGTAACTGCTGTAATCCGTCACCCAGAGGACCAAGAGGAAAACATGAACACAAGCGCCAACCATCTCGCGTTGCACAGGGATAAGGCTCGAGCGTGCAGGGAACACCTCACCCAGGATGTTTGTACGTGCTGGACCAAGTCAGCGCAGAGAAGCAACATCCGCCTGTCTCAAGCTACGCAGCTCATTTAGGTTGTAGTCTCCCATGGTTTTCCGCATGAATAAGATCGTCTGAAGGTCGCACAGTGGTGGGTGGTGGCTGGCATGTGTCCTGGTACTGCTCGCGCTGTCCGTCTCAACCGTGCATAATTGTGCCGACGGGGGAATAGCAACCTACGCTCCGCTGATCGGAATCTTCTGGCCAATCGCAGCCCACAAAAAAATTGGGGGTGCGACGGGGCAAAGGGGGGGAGGGGGGGGTGTTGGCTCTCTCTCGTTCAGGCTCACATCCGATCATCCAAAATTCAGCAAGGAGGACCAAGCGTTCAGCGGAGTTAGTTCTCCCCCCCTTCAGGAGTTGGTTAGTTGACCACTCCACTAAACCTGGCTTGACCCTGCCTGGGCGCCATCGATAAAAAACAAAAAAACAAGAAAAAACAAAAAAAAGACCACCTCTCTCCGCCTCTCCCTCACCTGCTCTTCGGGTTTCGCCAGGTGAGCGTTAGGAGCTGTGGCATGGCCGGAGAGCTCACGGCTGTCGCTGAATCTTGCTCTAGGTAGTGTATAGTCCTTGGTGAAGTCGTAGGGGCTGGGTGGTTGTGGCGTCTGGGGCTGCGCGGGCCCGAGTTGAGTGCGCGTTTGGGAAAGCCCAGCCGTTGTGTTAGAACCACCCAGTTTCTCGCTCTGGCCCGACGTAGGGACGCACGGCTTTGTTTCGTCCAGCTGGTTGACCGCGACTTGTGTGCCGTTGCCTGCCCTCTGCCTCCGCTGTCCGACGTGTACCTCCTGTTTACCCATCTTTTCAGCCCAGAGCCCCCCCCGTAAGTCTCCCGACTCTCCCTCAGCTGCCTCCCTCATCGGCTCACCGTCAATCCACACACACACAACGCCATCTTCTAGAGCTCAAGACAAGACGGCGGACATGGCTCTCAACGCGCCCCCAGCGATGACCCAAGCCCCGGCCCAGGGCCAGCAGCAGCAGCAGCAGCAACAGGGCCAGGGTAACACGGCGGTGAGTGTACCGTACAGCCTAGCCAGAGATGTATCTCGCTTGTTCATCTGAACCGATGAGTTGCATTGCTGCTATCGTGACAGACAACTCGACGAAAACAAACAACAGCAGCGTGTTTTCTTTCCCCAGCCCGGCTGCGGACTGCTCTGAGCCGATCAAGACGTCAAATGTGGGGGCTGAAGGCTGTTTGTTGAAATACCGCCCGCCGGTACGGACGGCGGATCGTTTCAAGCACACCCAGATAGCAGCTAGAGAAGGTGCAGCACGTTGGCTTGAACGCGCACAAAAGCGTTGTCACAAAAAAACGTTTTGAATCAAATGTATGTGCTTTTATTTTCAGCATCGACCGCGCTAACCGGCTGACCAATGAAAAGACGTCAGTCTTAGTGCGGTTGATAACACAAAACACTGCTATCTACCATGAACTGGGACCCCGTGAGGGAGCAGCATGGGGGAGGCTAATCTATCCTTCGGATCAAAACAGAAACAGCAGCAACAGAAGAAAACTGCACTCGTCTACCAAGGCTATTACCTAGTACTCGAGTTCGTTTAGGAGTACTTTCACCAGTTTCCTCCTTGTTTTCGCTACAATCATTCTGATCCTTATTTTGACAAGAAGAATCTCTGGGCAGTTCTTCCCTAGCCCTACGTTTCTTGTTGTGGGGAAGGTCATCTGGCTCAAACCCTTTGCTCTCTTCCACTCCTCCATGTTTTCCTGCTCCATCGTCGTCATCCTCCTTTCTCCCCTTTCCCTTTCCTTCGTCTTCGTCACTCCCAAAAGAATTACCCTCGCTACTGTCGTTGTCGCAGAGATCCCAACCGATTGGCCCTGGTGGAAGTTGGTCGATCGTGTGTGTGTGCAAAGCACGCTCCAAAATTTCTCGTGCGATGGGAAATGGGAGATGCTTCGCGTGCCTCCAACGCGCCTCGCCGCCCCTTGAAATCTTGAACTATCGTTGTTTCGTGTCGGCAACCTGTTTTTGTGCAGATCGCCCCGTACCACTCTGCTTCGCTGTACGTGGGTGACCTCTCTAAGGATGTGGCGGAAGCAACCCTCTTCGAGATCTTCAGCCAGGTACAAAAAAAAAAATAAACGCGGTGTCGCTCGTTTTTTGCATGCTGCTGTTGACTTGAAAGTATCACATTCGGTGTTGTGGCGTCTGCTGGGCTGGTCATTCACGAAGAGAGCAGGTACACACCGCATAAACCGGTATTTTGTAGACTGGCGTACTAACGTACGCTTACAATGTGGTTTGTGTGCACCTGCTGTGCGTTGGACATCTGACGCAGTTGGTGGATATATATTTCTGGTTTGTACCCTCGCATATACACGTACATACATGAGTCCAACTTGAGGCTGATTTTCTCATTATTTTCTCACGGGAACAAAGTTCTTGTTGACATACGGAATCGTCCTCGACAGCAGTAAGCAGTCGTTGGGGATATGGTACGCTTTATGGAGGGGGTCTCCAGCTCCTCTCTCATGAAGAGATAAGAAAAGTGTCCAAGATAATCAGTAATGGATTATCACTGAAGTCCTCATCAGGCGTGCTGACCATTTCGACGCTGCCGTTGTGCGTGTATCCGTTTTCTGTCGGGCAGGTCGGGCCGGTGGCCTCCATCCGCGTGTGCCGCGATACCGTCACCAGGCGCTCGCTGGGCTACGCGTACGTGAACTTCCACAACGTGGCCGACGGTGAGCTACGCACAACGCCAGAGTGAATGCTTCCCGTCATTTCGTTGTGGTCGCGATCGTATGATGACCCCCCCTCGGTGTTTTTTTGCGAGAAGAGTACACCATTCGCCTTCTCCTTGGTGCTGCTTATGTACATGAAGAGCAAGAAGGGATGGGGCGGCCTCGCCTCTTCTCGTTGCCTATCAAAAGTCTGATCGGATGACGTTAACGTGTCTATCCGGTGCATCGAGACACACCGGTCGTCATTCATGTTGCTATTGTACGGTCCGGTTTCTGCGAAATGCTTTACAGCCGAGCGCGCTCTAGACACGATGAACTTCACGACCATCAAGGACCAGGCTTGCCGCATCATGTGGTCCCAGCGCGACCCGTCCCTCCGCCGCTCCGGCGTCGGCAACATCTTCGTCAAGAACCTCGATGAAACCGTCGACAACAAGGTGAGACCTAAAATATGCCCACTGCTTTATGAAATATGTTTCGCACGTGTCGTTACGTGAAACGCTTGTTTGGGGTCTGGAACGGAGCACCGGTTGAAGGAGGCGCTGATTCTCGGCATGGCATTGTTGCACTCACGTGCCCAGATTTACTTAGTGCTGCCCGTTCAGTCTTGGGTGTATGTGCGTGTTGGGTGATCGTTCGCTACTTTTGGTGTATATTGCTTGCTAGTGTTGAGTTAAATTGGTTCACCTTGCGCCGCGTATTCATGGCTGAGTCAAGACATGAAATTTGGGAGTATCACACCCCCCCCCCGCTAGTGTCTTGTCTTCATAGTTTGTACCCGAAGTCATTGCTTCTTTGCATGATGCGCTGTTGTTGCTGTGCATTTAACTCGATTCCATGACGCCCCGTGCGCATCGCTTTTTCTTTTTTTTATCGTATCGGGCACGCTGTGCCGGTGCTACAGGCCCTGTACGACACGTTCTCCCTGTTCGGGAACATCCTGTCGTGCAAGGTTGCCACAGACGATGCCGGCGAGAGCAAGGGCTACGGCTACGTCCACTACGAGGGCGGGGTGTCGGCCAACATGGCCATTGCCAAGATCAACGGCATGCTCATCGCCGGGAAGCAGGTGAGATTCCGCCTTTCTTCACAGGAGTTTTTTTTTAGGGACGTAGGCCAAGGATTATTTTGGTTAACAGCTTGCCGGTTGAATGACGGTCACACGGCGGCGATACGTAGGAACGTGATCATGTTTCGGCTTGTTGTTATCGCTTCAATCCTCGTGATTTCGTCATGGCTGGACACGGAGTTCAGTATATATTGATACTCGCCGACATTTTGAAGACTAATCCCGTTTTGTGTGTCTGTTTTGTTTGAACAACGTGTAATCAGTAGAAGCTACACAGTGCAGCTGATTTTCGTGTGTCTCGACACCATCCTCCTGTTGTGAGGTTTTGTGTTCAGCTTGGCCTACACAGCACCTGATGCGCGTGTGCGCACAAACCGGTCCCCATTGGGGGTGAGACCACAATTGACCCAAGGGCTCATCCCCAAGTTGAGACACGGAAGATTAACATCGCCGAAACTTTATTGCCGGGGCCTTTACAACGCATCAATTGATCTGGTAGTGCCCTCTAGCACCAGCGGGATATTCTGAAGCCCATGTTGGACCCCATCTGTGAAGGCCTCATATTGACGTGTTTGTTGGGATGTTCTTCCCGCGTTGATACATGAGAGCTTTGAACCATTTTTGAAGTGTGGCAATCCATCCTTAGTAGGAGTGCAGTCAGTCTTGTCAGGACGGCGTAGACCAGGACTGCCCCCCAGCATTAGACGGTACCTCGGTAGGGCTCTGCTAAGCAATTGATTTCTCTGTAGCACCTCTGAAACACCAACCACAGCCACCCACTGTACCGAGGGTGAGGAGTATGATGTCTTCGGGACAAGCTTCGTAGACAGAGATGGTGCAAGTTGAGTACATGGGCACGGTGGAAGCAAACGTGCTTGTGGTTTTTGTGTGTGGTGTGGTGCCGAACAAACACCGATCGGATTACAGCTCCTCCTGCACGTCTGCATGACACCTTGTTGCCTCCGACAGCATTGTGCTCCTTGATATTCCCTCGTTGGAAAGGTGGAACTTCGCCCGCATATAGACATTGTATGATGTCATGCATGATGAAATGCTGTGTTGACACAGTACACAAATCATTGATCATCTGTAGTAATATTAAATACCATGACGTCTGATTCGGGTTTTAAACACGCGAATATTGGCAGGTGCACGTGGGTCACTTCGTGCGCCGCGACAACCGTGCCGGCCAAGCCGACTGGACGAACCTCTACGTGAAGGGCCTGCCCAGCTCGTGGGACGACGCCAAGCTCCGCGAGGAGTTCGAGAAGCACGGCACGGTGACGAGCTGCAAGGTGCAGGTGGCGCCCCAAGAGGCGGACGAGTCTAAGGAGAAGGGCAAGGGCGGAGGGGGCAAGAGCCGCGGGTTCGGATTCGTCAACTTCGAGGAACACGAGTCTGCCGTGAAGGCCATCGAGGCACTGAACAATGCGGTGAGTGCAATACACGAGCGGGGGGGCCGTGGTTGTTGGTGTTGGGCTATATGTACCTGTCGTCGAGTTGCACGCTTTCTGTCGTTTGTATGTTGAAGTCGGGATGGAAGAGGAGATTCAGCCGCTTCTCTGTTGAATGGATGCATGCATTGCTATTATCGCCAGGTCGTGATTCTACCCTCATCCAATTTTTTCGACTGTTGGGCTATCGATAGAAATGGAAGCATGTGATTGCAGCACATACTCATCTCTTGAGTACGGGATATTTCACGAAACCTTGGGGGAGTTGCCTAAGACAAGGTTTCGAAGTACGGGAGTAGTCGAAACGCCAGCCGCGTGAGGTGATGCCACTGTTTGACCCCATACTATCTGAGGAGAAGAACTGACGCGAAAATATTGGTGTATTGTCAAGAACCGAAATGGAAAAAAATGAAATCGTTTCCAGATGCGTCTTGCTAGACGAAAGGTCTCATTTCAGGTTAAGCGTCAACGCTTAAGGCGGGATGTCTGCACTCCCACCTGGTAGTGATATCTAGCATCAGGAACTTATAGTTTCGTTTTCAATCAACACGGCGTTGATAGAGAAGGAAATTGTTTTGATGTTTTGTTTTCATGCTTTCACATTTGCCCGCCCCTATGGGACGTTATATTATCCTGTCATGTCCAGTATGGCGTGTCCAGGCCGCTCGTCTTGTCGTTCGTTCCTTGATTTCATCTCTTTCCATCTGATCTGATATCATTTTTTTCCCTCTTGGGGGCTGCGTGATCCTCCCCCCCCCCCCCCCCCCCCCCCCCCCCCCCCCCCCCCCCC